ATTATTTTTCGTCTAACGATTGAATATAAAATCGAAAGAAATTTAAACATTTTTGACATTTCGATAAATTAATATTGCTCGGTCCTTAATTGGTCAAATCGTGATACACGTGGCATGAGAGTACCTTAGAACGTATCGTCCTTAGACACGAAACGACAAAAGCAATCAATCACAGGTCCCCTCAAGACTTCGCAACTTTTGCCACTCGACAACTCTGATATTCCAACACGACAATCCATTGTCTTCCAAAAAAAAAGCTGTCACTGTCGATCGTCGATTTTATCGTTTTTCCGGATTTCTCAGTTAATCGCCAACGACGTAATTCGCCGTATCGTTCGACATCCACCAAAGTGCAAGAATCTCCAAGCTGTCGCACCCGACGAATCACGCGCTCGCGGCAACTTTTTTCTCCGTCTCCGTCCTTCTTTTCAGCCCGATAGTCATTCAAGCTTTCAGGGCGAGACGAGAGCGAGACGGGGGGATCCGCAGTGGAAAAAACCGAACGAAAACGCGTACCCGGCAGTCACCGAGGGTGAACTGTTTCCAGGGAGGAACGAGCCGCGAGACACGCCACGAGCCGACATAACGCGTCACAATTCGCAGTTTCATTGTAGAGGAAGAGCACCGTAACGCGGGCAGAAGCGTGGCCTGTTACAAATCCGCGCCGACAAGCTGTTCCGCGACGCTTTTTCAAAAGCGAGAGAAACGCAGCCTGCCCGCCGTAACGCGCCTCGCTCCGGCTAATTTTCAAAATGCCCGCCAACGCTAAATACCGCTAATTTCCGGCGTGAATTGCCGCCGCTTTGCGTCTCGTTCGCGTTGCTGCGCGTTTCCATTTTTCTTTTTTCCTGCTGCTCGATGAATCGTAAGAACCGAAAGGTGCTAATGGAACGATGCAAAAAAAAAAAGAGAGAAAAAAAGAAGAACTGCGAGATTGCGAGATTGCGAGACAGACCGACATGATGTAACTGCGGTGAATATAGAAATTTAGGTGATCATCTAGGATGACTTTTTGATATTGGCCAATCTCTCGGGCCATCAATTGCTTGGATATTTCTTTCCCCGTCAGAGATTTTGAGCGATAATTCGTTTTAACATTCATATCGCGTGTTTCTTCGGGTATACGTTGCTCGCGAATTTATGACTTTCTTGACAAAGGTGTAAAATGAAACTATAATTTAGAGAGAAGGGAAGAGGAGAATGCGAGAAGATCATTTAGAATTTAACATTACAATGGAACTTTACAATTACTATATAAATACAATAATTGTTCTTGCTTCGTGCATTAACTCTTATCTGTTATTACTGGGCCATTGGAAATGATAACAATTATTTAGAATTAAATTGGCTAGTTCTAGAACTCGTAATTCAATTCAAATTTTTTATTAATTTATCAGAAGTGTAAAGTATAAAAAATATATATATATTTATATATAAATTTGATGTATTTAAATATCCTAAATTAGTATAATCAATACGATCCAACAACACTACTTTAGAATTAGTGACGATGAAACAATAAAATAAAATAATAAAAATATAAAACAATAGAAATAGAAATGAATAAAAATTAGGAATAGATAGTTCACAGTACTTAAATATCAACACTTAATATTACATAGAGGAGTATCAAATTTTAAGAATACAATTTTTGAAGCTATATTTACACATTTATCCTAAACACTCGTTGTTTCGTAATTATTTTGCGCTAACGATTTGCAAACTGTCAGCTAATTAATGCAGGTCTGTTAATTATCTAATGTTGGCAAATATTCCAAAAGTCCAAAGACGCATACAGTATGAAGAGACCCTTAACTTAGCAAGCGTTAACGAGGTAGGGACTAAATATTTCATGCTGGCAAATGAATTGTTACACGAACGAGAAACCTATTTTGGTCCCCACTAAATGGTCACTCTATATTCCTTCATTTGTAAAAGAGTCAGCAGTGATTAACGACAAAAGTAGAATGAAATTAGAATAGTAGAATGTAAAGTACAGTCCTTAACTAATGAGTTAGGACCATTTTCAATTTTCAACCTGCTTTTAGTAGAATAAAGTGGTTTGAAACCTAATAACAAGTCATGTGAATATTTATAACTTGTACACTGCTATACATATATATTATTAATCAAGATATTCAAAAAATTCGGTGAATATGTAAATGCATAAATATGCACGAAAATTATGTAGAATCTATGAGTAATGTAAATTTATTTCACATAATAGTTAACAGTAATTTGGAACTAAAGGATATTCAGGACAATTAGGATTCCTTCAATAAAAATCATAAATAATTTTTCTATATTTGCAGCACTCGATTGTTCGTCCATTGGTACGAACTTTATAATAATGGCCAAACACGATGAGAAACAGATATGAAATATTCCATGTACGTACACGTACATATACCTCTTAATCAAAATATCTAAAACACATGTAATATATAGAATAATAATTATTAGTAACGTCTATTTATTAATACGAAGTACATAACGTTTATTAATTACAAGAGATCCAGTCGGACCTCTAAACCTATGTTATTGACTCTGTGTTGCGCAAAGAAAAATTGAAAAGAAAGAATCACGCATGATTAAACAGTACTACACGAAGTATACCGGAAGTACTAGATCCTCTGATCGCACTAATCACTGGAATGAAACCAAAGAGAAGAAACGCGAACTATTAATGTGTGCAATATTTCGTGCTTGTACGATATGCACGTGTACGTTTGATAGTTAGTAAAATTGATTGTTAAATCGCGTTCAGACGCGATCCAACTTCTTCATGATATCTCGCAACACATTGATAATTGCGAGTGACCCTAATTCACTGGTCAAGGACTGTAAATTCCCCGAGAAAAAGGTATCGAGGGGGGAAAAGAAACGAAGAAGCATTCCAAAGCGAGGAACGTTGCACCTGCGAAAGATATCCAGCTGCCGCGCGCAGCTCGTTCTAACGAAGCGAATGACTGGCGCGGCGATTAGTAAAAGGACGCGAAGTTGATGCGTTAGCGGTGCATCGTGTCGGCTGTAGAAAGAAGCCAGGCCACAATGCCGAACACCAAGAGCAACAGTACTTCGCGATCCGTTGCCGCGAAGCAAAGGACACCGAAGCCATCAGAGCGTGCAGTCAGCAGCTCTCTGTTCTGTTCGAGAGCACTTAGACTCGCCACGTCAGGAAACGGTGTCCCCCGCGTGTGCTGGTCAACAAAGAAACGAAGGCACGTGACCGCGATACCTATCTCTCTTCCTTAGTGAAAATTTCCTTCCACGACGGTTCCGAAAATTCGCGGCAACGAGTTTTCAGGAATACTCGCTTCCTCTGAAGGCCATTTCCTGTTTCCTCGGTTATTCGTACGAGGAGAATTTTTGGAGAGTATGAAAGAACAATCACAGGAACTTAGAATATGATATACGATAGTCAATTGGTTAATTAAATTAATTTCAAAAATGGTACTCGCAATCATCGTTATTAACCTTCTGCTTCTCAATTTTTGAAATCAATCAAACGTCGAACTTGTTTCGTTTGAACTACTCCTTCGAAAACATACTTCTCAATATTATCACATACAACTGGACAACATTGAAACACACACACACACA